ATATGCCCTGACCGGGAATCGAACCAGCAACCTTTGGGTGCACAGGATGACACCCAACCAACTGAGCCACACCAGCCAGGGCTTTTATTTTTCCTTTTCTTTTTTTTTTAATCCTCACCTGAGGATGTATTTTTACTGATTTTGTTTAGAGGGAATGGAAGGAAGAGAGAGAAAAACATTGATTGGTTGCTTCCCATACAAGCCCCGACCTCAAACCTAACCCCAAACCTAGATATGTGCCCTAACTGGGAGCCAAACCCACAGCCTGTTGGTGCAGGGGAGGACGGAGGACACTCTAACCAACTGAGCTAAACCTAGCTTTTCATCATACTTTATGCGGGATGTCCTCAGCAGCTCTTTCATTCATCAATTAACTAGTTTATTCAACAAATACAGTAAAACCTCAATATAATGGACTAATTTGGGTGAGGGGGTGGTTCCTTAAAGCCAAAAGTTCATTATATAATAAAAAGTAGGTTTTCCAAATGTGTATGCTAAGAAATTGACAAATTACTTAGTTCACTTCTTGTTTTTTTTAAACCCTCACCCGAGGATACTTTTTCCATTGTTTTTCAGAGAGAGTGGAACAGAGGGAGAGAGAGAGAAACATCATTGTGAGAGAGACACATCGATTGGTTGCCTCCCGCATGCACCCCAACTGGGCGGGGGGTCAAGCCTGCAACCAAGGTATGTGCCCTTGACTGGAATTGAACCCAAGACCCTTCAGTCCGAGGGCCAACAATCTAACCACTGAGCCAAACCGGCTATGGCAGTTCACCTGTTTTTTTTAACTTATGTAGACACATTTGTGTAATTAAAATTAAGTATGTATGAAAAGTTTAATTTCATAGAAAAGTTTTCTATATGAATTTTAAATTTATGCTGAATAGGTCTAGTAAATGTGTGCATTCACCAGTCACCAACAGTAAACAAGTGCACACAGCTTGGGTGTGGCTTAGTGCCTGTTGGAACATCCGCAGGCTTGCATTAAAACTGCTAGAGAGCCCTGGACAGTGTTGCTCAATGGTTAGAGCATTGGCCAGAGGACTGAAGGGTCCCAGGTTCGATTCCAGCCAAGGGCAAGTACCTCAGTAGCAGGCTTCATCTAGGCACTGGTTGGGGTGTTGTGGGAGGCAACCAATCTATGTCTCTCTCACAGCTATGTTTCTCTCTCCCCCCCTCTCTTTCACTCTCTCTGAAAAGCAATGGAAAAAATATCCTTGGGCCCGGCTGGGTGTGGCTCAGCAGCTGAGAGTCGACCTAGAATCCAGGCAATCGGGGTTCGATTCCCGGTCAGGGCACATGCCCGGGTTGTGGGCTCTATCAATGACTTTCTCATCATTGATGTTTCTATCTCTCTCTCCCTCTCCTGTCCTCTCTATGAAATCAATAAAGATATATTTAAAAGAAAAGAAAAGAAAAAATATCCTTGGGTGAGGATTTAAAAAAAACTGCTGCAGAGAGTCACACTATGGGCAAACAGAACCAATTAACACGCATGATGCGGTGTGATCACGTGCTAATCATTCCCCAAATATTGTTTAGGAGTGGTGGCTCTTGGATTTAAATATGTAGACTATAGTTGTAGATATGTAATATTTACTTACGTCGACGAAATTACTATAGTGTTTTTCCCAATATATGGCCTATTCGCTAAAATTTGTTAAAAGTAACAGTGAATTAATAACAAAAAATAACCTGTTTAATTATAAGCAGATCTTGGTTAAAAGTATTTTAAAATTAACAGGGTGTTAATTTTCACATATGACACATGGACCAAAAATTTTGTCTGTTAAATTCAAAGCCTGTTAAATTGAGGTCTGCAAAGTCAAGGGTTTACTATATTGATTAAATGCCTTCTATATGCCAGGCACTGTGCTAAGTACCAAGCAAAACCAAAACAGGACAGTCAAGGTGTCTTCCTTGTGTGGCATTTACATCGGAGGAAACAAAATTAAAATGTATATAAATATATATCTTTTTAAAAATATATATATTTTTATTGATTTCAGAGAGAGGGAGGGAGAGGGAGAGAGAGAGATAGAAACATCAATGATGAGAGAGTCATTGATCGGCTGCAGCCCGCAATCCAGACCTGTGCCCTGACCAGGAATCGAACCCCGATCGCCTGGATCCTAGGTCGATGCTCAACCGCTGAGCCACGCCCAGCTGGGCTAAATATATATCTTAAGTTAAAAATGTGTTAAGTGCTATTGAGGTATTTGGTACTGAGATAGAGACTAGCAAGCAGTGACCTGATTTGGATAGGATGGTTAGGATATTTAAAAGATGGTTAGGATATTATTTACAAACTAAAAGAAGGGAAAGCTAGCTGTACAAATAAGATGGAGACAAGCAGGGTTCTGGGCAGACGGAACAGCATCTACAAAGGCCCAGAGGCAGCAATGAGCTTGTTGTGAGCAAGGCAGCATGGCAGCAGATATGATTGGAGAAGTGGAGGCAGGTGGGCAGAGCAATAAGAGCCTTATAAAGCTGTGAAAGGAGTTTATAGGCTTTGGGAAGCAGTTGAAGAACTGCAAACGGGAGTAATTGATCCAATACATTCTTTAAAATGAATCCTTTTCATTTTTTTTAATCCTCTCCCTAGGATATTTTTTCTCCATTGATTTTTAGAGAGTGGAAGGTAGGGTCGGACAGAGAGAGAGAGAGAGAGCCATTGATGTGAGAGAAACACATCAATCGATTGCCTCCCACACACGCCCTGACCAGGGCCGGGGGTAGTACCTGCCACCCAGGTAGGTGCTCTTGACTGGAAATTGAACTCAGGACCCTTCGGTGTGCAGGCCAGCACTCTAACCACCAAGCCACACCAGCTAGGGCAAGATGAATCCATTTTTTAAAAAAGTCCAACAGCTGTGAGGATAATTGTTTGGAGGGAAAAGAATGGAGTTGTTGTAACCCAGGCCCAAGATGATGATGGCTTGCAGTAAGGGGCTTGTAGTGGAGAGAGTAGATTCACTAATTCAAGATAATAATTAACCCAAACTGAATTCAGGAGAAGGTGAGGGAACCCAGTCTAGAACAATAGGATCCTCTAACTCAGACCAATGGACTCTAGGAACATTCTTCAACTCCTTGAGGACAAAAATACCTAGGAGTCCTTCATGTTATGGATGAATCACTTGCTCACATATATTAAGCACCTATTGTATGCCAGGCACTGAAAATTGCTTCAAGAGGGGAAAATACAGATATGGTTATTGACCTCAGGAAGCTTACAGAATGTCTGTTGGGGCAGACGTTATATAAGTAAACATACATACAATATTTAATTGTGCAATTATAAGCAAGATAATTCCAATGATAAGGAAAATTGTCCAGTTGCAGGGGAAACCTGTAAGAGAGAGCTTAACCAAATTTAGGGGGAGGCTTTGATGAGAGAGGGCTATCTGTGCTGAGACCTGAAAAGTGTTCAGGAGCCCGGCAGAGTGTGGCCCAGTGGTTGAGCCTTGGCCTAGGATCTAGATCACCGTTCTATTCCCCGGTCAGGGCACATGCCCTGGTTGTGGGCTCGATCCCCAGTAGGAGGCATACAGAAGGCAGCTAATCAGTGACTCTCATCACTGATGTTTCTGTCTTTCTCTCTCTCCCTCTTCCTTCCTCTCTCTGAAATCAATAAAAGATATATATATATTTTTAAAAAGTGTTCTGGAGTTAGCTAGGTGGAGAGAAGTCTGGGGAAACCTTTCAGGCAGGATGAATGTCAAGTAGGAACTGAGGGCGCATAGAGTGAAGCATTTCCTGAGGCTGGAGCAGAAAGAGGAGATCCAGCAGAGCCAGTTATAGGCTTCATTAGGAATCTATTGGATAATATGTGCTTCAATCCCCAAACAGCTCGTCCTTCTGTCCCCATCACCTAGAATCCTCGGCTTGAAAGTGTGGATGAAAAATGAGTTCTACTGAAAGTAACCTCACAGGGTGATCTGATCGTAAATTTCTAACTGGGAAGGTCAGAGTGGGTAGTCATGCCCCTAGGCATGTAACTTCTTTAGTAAAAGGTTTATCTTTGCCTTAAGCAAGCCCTGTCTATTGTTCCTGTGCACCTAAGTTAACACACTTGTGGAATGCCAGAGTAATCCTCTTTTTCATACCCCAGGGAGGCAAAACCAGCTCAAAGGAGCACATAATCTTGTTAACCATCCTGTAATCCAATTCCCACCTTGCTTTCTCCCATCTTCATTTAAACTTCTTTATGCTCCCTCTTTCATGAAAGAAACTGCAAACTGTCATTCTAGGAAGCATTTTTTTTTCTCAATCTGTTAAGGCCTTGCTTCCAATTGTCCTCTGTTTGGCTCAAATAAGTTTTTATAAAAATAAAGGTTTGTGCCCAGTAGTTGAACATCGACCTATGACCCAGGAGATCAGGGCTGGATTCCTGGTCAGGGCACATGCCTAGGCTGCAGGCTTGATCCCCAGTACCGGGCGGGCAGGAGGCAGTGGATCAATGACTCATCATTGATGTTTCTCTATCTCCCTCTCCCTTCCTCTCTCTGAAAATCAATAAAGACATATTTAAAAAAAAATAAAAATAATTAAAAAAAATATTTGGACCTTTTTACAAGAGCAATCTTGGAAGCACTGTCATCACACTGCCATTCCAGGCACCGACATATTCCCATTGAAACACATTAAGAAAGTAATGCTAACCTATTAGCAATGAACTTATTTGGCACTTAGCTACAATTTTGTAAATCACTTGTGAATTTAAGAAACGGGTATTTCAAAGGTGTATTCTTTAAAAATAATGTCACGGGTAATTTCCCTAAGTTAGGCACCGGTATTTCCCCGCTTGCTTAGTCCCCTGGGCCCACGAAGCCCCTTCGGGCCGGTGTGGGGAGGCGAGGCTGCGGGAAGGCAAACCCCGGCGCCTAGGGACGAGCTCAGCCTGGGGATTGGCGGCGGAACCCCTGGGAGGCGGAACCTGAGCCGCGTGGTGCTTCAGTCCTGCGGACAATCAGGAGTGAAGCACCCGTTGGTCCGGAAGGAGCCAAGGGGAGCTGGGGCCACGGCAGCCATCGCGCCTTGCTGTTGGGTTTCGGAGGGTGTAGGACCGACACAAATTAAGGAATTGCGTTCTCTCCAATCGCAGGTGAGTAACGGCCTTTCCTCCAGGTAGAACCGGCGGCGGCAGCTGCGGATCCCGAGGAAGGCGCACCTTTGGGGCTTGGGCCCACGCGGGGTCCCTTCCTGAGGCAGGGTGAGGAAGGGGCGCCTGCTTTTCGCCCGGAGGCGGGCGGCGCGAGGCGGGATGGGTTCGGCTCCTGTCGTGCGGGGCCGCTGTCATGGTCCTCTCGGCCCGACGCCGCTGCTGTCAAGCGGTGGGTTATTTCAGGAAAGGACGAGATGACTTTTAAACTGCAGGCGAGCCCTTCCTTCCCTCGGCCTCAGTTTCCTCACCCGGTAAGGTGAAGGCGGCGGGAATCTGACAGCTCCAGAGGCTGCGACGCCGCGTGTTGTTTTCAGGTCTCCCAATTAGTGTCGGGGCAAACTGAGCTTCGCTAGTCGTAGTTAACGTCTTGCCATAGCCCAAGTCCCATTTGAGTGGGAAGAGATATACTACTGGGGGAAACTGGAATCATTTATAAATTTTTCCAAAATTTTACAAGGTAGAAATTTGTTTTGACAGCATTGAAAACTGATATCGTTGGCCAAAACCAAACTCGTCAGGAGTTCAAGGTATTTGGTACATGGGGCAAAGTGAGGTTAAGGAATCGCTAGAAAAATTAAACCTAATATTACTTGCATGTTCTTAAATCAAGGTCTGTATTACCACACGTCTTACACTGAAGAATGTTCTCTGTTCAGTGTTAAGTACCAGTTAAGAGTAAGTCACATTGAAGCAAATGAAAGAAAAGGAAAGGAAGACTTATTTACTACTATGTGTAAGGCGCTATGCGCACAACAATCCACTAAGGAAGGTAGTAGTGTCATATCTATTTTACAGATGAGGAATAAAGGAAGATTTACAATTTGTCAGTGATTAGTGGTGCTGGTGTATCAAAGCAGCTGTATATGTGATATTGTTTTAGTGGATTTTCATTCATTACCAAAATATTTTGAACTTCAAAAATGTTAAGATTGTATAATGCATTGGCATTTTCTGAGTTTGCAGAAAAGAAAGGTGAAATTTTAGAAATGTTAGAGAAGTGTTTTCAATAATTATGGAGATTAGCAGTTTAAATAAGGTACATTTTAACCTTCCCTTCCTTGCATTTCAAGCAAGAATTGAGACAAAAAATTGGGCTATCAGAAATAACAATCATTGCCACATCATTTGAGCTTACAGATAAGAATTCTATAGTAATGATTCATTATTTCTCCACCCTCTTCCTTTTTTATATATATGTTTTATTGATTTCAGAGAGAGGAAGGGAGAGGGAGAGATAGAAACATCAATGAGAGGATCATTGATTGGCTGCCTCCCCCACGTCCCCCACTGGGGATCAAGCCTGCAACCCCCCACATGTGCCCTGACAGGAAATTGAACCTCGATCTCCTGTGTCATAGGCCGATGCTCAACCGCTGACCCACGCCTGCCAGGCTCCACCCTCTTTTTTAAGTACACTTGGCTGAAACTCATTCAAATTATTTCTTTGCAAAACATTATTAAGCAAATCATTTAAAAATTAGTGTTGAAAAGTTTCTTTTCCTTGTGTATAGCTTTTAGAACAATTTCAATTAAAATATTTTAAGGATTGAATTTGTCATTGCTTATGTCAGTTTTCATTTTCTTAATTCAGAATAGGCAAGGTCAGTACTCAGACTCACAGCTTTTTTCATAATATAGTTTTTTCACTCTTAAAAAAAGTTCTATTTATATTTGTCACAGATTTAACCTTCTTTCAATCAAGAGTCACTTTTCCCTAGAGGAAACTTGAGTGTGTGCTTTTTGTTGATTACATGTACCAAAAGGTCTCGTTCCATTATTGTGATTGCTCCGTATTCAGTCCTAAAATGTTTTCTTGAGCTTTTTATGTGCATCACTGCTTCAAAACTTTAAAAGTTATAGAAAGAAAATTAACAATTTTAGGGGAGGATATTTGTAAAGGAGCATTGTCTTGAAACATTGAACATTGTTACTGTCCATCCTTGGTAATGCACAGGGCCTTGCTGAAATTCTGCAAAACATGGTCAAGAAGAGTTTTGGCCTCCTTTATGTTTCGAGTATTTCAGTTAGAATGGTGTATAGAATCCCTAACTTAGCTTGCAGACAGTATACTCATCTTAGGATTTTGTACTTTTTTGTTTGTTTATTCTTTTCCCTCATCGACCTTCCCCTTTCACTCTCCCCTCCTCAACCTGTACATGTTTTATCATACATCTGGCACAGGTAGAAAATTATGATTAATCTCTTCTAGTGATACTCTTTTTTTACCTCTTTGAAGGAAACTAGTCGAGTGCCTTTTCTGGTGGACAGTCAATGACAGTGTTGTTAATATTTAAAGTAAAATCAGAATATCATTAAAAACTTTTTCATATTAAAAGTTGTATTTTTTTTAATTTTTAAAAAATTGATTTGAGAGAGAGAGAGCGAGCGAAACATCAATTTTTGTTGTTCCACTTATTTATGCGTTCGTTGGTTGATTCTTGTATATGCCCTGACCGGGGATCAAACCTGCAATCTTGGCATATCGGGACAATGTTCTAACCAACTGAGCTGCCCGGCCAGGCCTAAAAGTTGTTAATATTGAAGTTAATTTGAAAATTGGCATTTAAAGTTTTGTGCAGTGAATTTGAATTCATTTAGTCTGAGTTAATACCATCTTGTATTGTATAGTATTCAAGGTGTTTTGGGGTACATTATCATATTTAGTCATTCTTACTACTCTGTGAGGCAGGTGGTAATCCCATTACACGTAGGAGGAAAGGGGCTCAGATAAATTGATTTTCCCAGAATGAAATAATAGTATTTCAAAAGATGCATGTTAAATCCATATTTTTAAAATTCTAGGACAGGTACTCTATCTATTTTACCATAGCTCTACCATCCTTTACTTCCCAAAGTCATTAATGTATTGATTGTATAATCCTACTCTAACGTCGTATTTGCCTCTTTAGACTATCATAGCTTTTATTTTTTCTAAGCAGTACTTTTTGGAGTATTTGTGTCTTGTAGTTTGTGTATTTTTTCCTTAAAGTTTACACCTAAATGGTTCTGCCTAGCTAGTTACTTATATAAATTTGTTGTAAATATTAAAAGACCTTGTAAATTTATAAATTTGACTTTAATTTTTTTATAATAGCTTTATTGAGATTCATATACCATAAAATTTACCCTTATAAATACAGTTAAGTGTTTTAGTATATTCACAATGTTGTGCAATCATCAGCATTGTCTAATTCCAGAACATTGTGTCATCCCAAAAAGAAACCCAGTACCTATTAGCAGCCACTCCTGGTTTCCCCTTCCTCTCCTGTGTGACAAACACTAATCTACTTATTCTAAAGATTTGCCTGTTCTGGAATTTCATGTAAATAGAATCATCCATATAAGTTTAATGGAACAAGGCTTTAAGAAGGTTGTTTTTTTCTAAGAAGTTATTTGCACTAGTTTTCATGTTACATGAATAGATCACTTTTCTAATCTGCGTAGGGCCCTTTCCTGTTTGGTGTTCATGCAATAAATAAATCTGCTGATGTGTATATGTTTCCTTGTTCTTGACCTTTGCTCTTCACATGTCTTAATAGGGTGTTCATGGTGTTGTGTAACCTGTTCTCAGGGCTCAGGTATCTGTTTGTGACTAAGTAACTTTTATTCTTAGTTGGGCATTTTTACCTCTACTTTAAAATGACTAATGATTCCTAGCTTGTTTTAAGGTTCTTGGAAACCACGAGGTTATAGAAATATCTTATTATCTTCTAAAGCAGTTTCCCCATATATGTTATTAAATTATTTCTCTTGGGACAAATTTTACAGCAGCAAATGGGTACTGTTCTTTTTTTTTTTTTTTAAGATTAACCTACAATTATTTTTATTTAAATATATCTTTATTGATTTCAGAGAGAGAGGAAGGGAGAGGGAGAGAGAGAGAGAGAGAAACATCAATGATGAGAGAGTTGTCAATTGATCGGCTGCCTCCTGCACACCCCTGACGGGATCGAGCCTGCATCCCAGGCATGTGCCCTGACTGGGAATCAAACCTCAAAATCCTGGATCCTAGATCGATGCTCAACTGCTGGGCCACACTGTCCAGGCACATAGCTACCATTCTTATGCAAAAAATCCTTTTTCCTTCAATGCTTACCCCATTCTACCCTCCATCATTCCTTATCTCTCTCACCTACCTACCAACAGTCATCTTCAGTGAGGACTTTGCCACTCGATTCGGTCTTGGTTTCTATAGCAATGCCCTCCATTCTTCTAGGTGATTCCACTGCCTGCTGGTGTGGACAGTGTATCCTGTGGTTTGGCTTCCCATATCTTTCACCTTCTGTTCTCTTCAGCTATGTCAGAGTCAGGCCTTGGAGCTTGCACCACCTAGACCTGATCCTCTCTTGAATTCTTAAAAAAAAATTTTTTTAATTGGCTTTAGAGAGAGATTTGTTGTTCCACTTATTTATGCATTTATTGGTTGATTCACCTATGTGCCCTGACTGGGGATTGAACCCGAAATCTTGGTGTATTGGGAGGATGCTCTAACCAACTGAGATACCTAGCCAGGATCTCTCTCGAATTCTTGAATCCCACATTCTCCTCTGTTTTGCTGGCACAGTTATATCCCACTTTCACTTCTCTCACTCTTTCACTACATCTGTGCCTGCTTTTCTACTAAAGGCTTTCCTCCTTCTCTCCCAGTTCTATATTTTGAAAACATTGCCATTGATTCCCATCCCCCATGCTCCACCTGCCTTTGTACCTTTATCCACTCAGCTGAACTTCTGATCAGATCACTTTAGTTTCTCTTACTAGTACTCTCAATTTCCCATTCTGTGTCTTTTTTTAGTTCCTGTTCTGGAAGTCCAAATCCTCCTTCACTCAGTGTTCTCTAAAGTTAAGCATTGCTGGAGAGTGAGGGTAGGGAGTTGAGGGGAGATTGGAAATCAGCGCAGATCGGTACTGCTGTGAATGTTTTTCAATCCCAGCCGAGCACTTGGCTCTTTTTAACAATCCAGATCGGTACTGCTGTGAATGTTTTTCAATCCCAGCCGACACTTGGCTCTTTTTAACAATCCTAATGTGATCTTTTCCTGCACCATAGCTATTTTAATCCTCACTCTGCTCCTCAGCATTTCTCTACACCCCTTCTTCATTTTGGAGTCAGATTCCTGCCACCTCCACTATCCATTCCTGGCCCGCCTGCCTTGTAATCTTGGAGGAAGAGATGTGCTCTCAGCCGTCTCCTCTTGAAACTTTGCCCCTTTTGGTTGACTCCTTTGTTCTCTTTCTCTTTCATCTTTAACCTTTCCCTTCTCACTAGCTCCTTCCCTTCAGTTTATCAGCATACTCAAGCCTCATCCTTGCTTTAGAAGAAAATCTTATTTCCCTCATATCATTTCAAACTTTTTGAAAGATGAATCTCTCCTCACTGCCTCCACCTATTAACCTGTCCCATTCACTTCTCAATAATGGAAACTAGGTATTAAATACTTTGTGCATTGTATCTCATTTGATCTTTACAACACCCTGAGAGATTTTGCAGAAGAAACTTGTTAACTCGTTCAAGATCACACAGTTAATGAATCATGGAGATAGGTTATACTGTGCTTTAAGTACTGGCCTTAGGCTCTCCTGTACTGCTGCGCCACTGCAGGCTGCTCATGCTCTCAACAGTTGTCTCCTTGTCACCAAAGCCAGTTGTGACATTTCTGCAGCTGTATATGATGGGGCTAAGTTCTTTCCTTTCCAATTTTGCCACTGTCTCTTCTAGTTCTATCCTCTACCCTTCTGGGGTTCCATTGGTTCTTCCACCCCTATCTGTCCCTTAAAGACCCTCTCAAATGATGACTTATTTCTTCCATAGCATTTGGATGGTGCTTGAGGCAGAGATGTTGGGAGAACATTCTGATGTTGGGAAGGACAATGGATAGGGGTTTTAAGGTGGTAAAATACAGGTCACCAGCAGTGAATGGCAAGTAGTTTACTTTTACCCAGGGAAAGCTACAAGTAGGGAGGTAATAAGTGTTAAGCTTGGAAAGGTGGCTAGAAGGTAGATAGTAGAAGTTCCAGAATAATGGACTAGGAGTTTGATTGAATCATTTTTCAGCTTACAAACTTCCAGTGGCTCTCCATCCACATGTATGGGGTGGCCACATAATTTCACACCTAAGTCAGGACCCTTTTGGGAATGAAAGGAAGCACTATTAATAATTACTGAAATAACTGCTAAGACTGTCCCCAGCAAACTGGGAATTATACAGTTACCCTGACTATGCAGCAAGTCCAAGGTGACATTTTTTTTTTAATCCTCACCTGAGGTTATTTTTCCATTGCTTTTCAGAGAGAATGGAAGGGAGAAAGAGAAAGAGAGAAAGAGAGAGGGGGAGAGAAACATTGATGTGAGAGGGACATTGATTGGGTGCCTCCCACAGGAGCCCAGACTGGGGGTGGAGATCAAACCTGCAACCCAGGCACGTGCCCTCCCCGGAGAATCAAACCTTGGACCCTCTGGTACACAGGCTGATACTCCATACACTGAGCCACGTTGGCCAGGACCACACTGCATCTTCTACCGTGCTTTAAAGTTTTGTTTTTTTGGGGGGGATGTAAGGAAAGGTTCGTTGATTGAGAAGGCCTAGCTTGAGAGGATCAAGATTTTTTTTTTAGCCCGGCCAGGCGTGGCTCAGCGGTTGAGCGTCGACCTAGGATCCAGGAGATTGGGGTTCAATTCCCGGTCAGGGCACATGCCTGGGTTGTGGGCTTGATCAATGGCTCTCTCATCATTGATGTTTCTCTCTCTCTCCCTCTCCTGTCCTCTCTCTGAAATCAATAAAGATATGTTTGAAAAAAAAGAAAAAATATTTTTTTTTTTTAAACATTCAGCAATATGATTAAAATTTGAAAAATGCAAAAAGATAAACACCGAAATTTACCACCTGGTATGAACTGCTTCAAAAGACCAAAAGAAATAGAAAAAGGGTTTTTACTCCATTAGGTATAATCAGACTTTGAAACTTATTTTATCATCTACTCTCTTTTCTTCTTTCTCTTCTCCCTGCTCTTCCTGCCCCCACTCCATCATTTTGGTAAATACTCCATAGGTTATATATACTGTGATTAATTTAATTTGAACATTATTGCCAAAATTTTTCTTATTTAACACTTTGATGCACGTCTTTATATATAAAGCTTTTCCATATTTAGCACTATTTCTTTTTTTTAAAATATGTTTTTATTCGTTTTATTTTTTAGAGAGAAAGGGAGAGAGAGAGAGACATTGATGGGCTGCCTTCTGCACGGCCCCTACTGGGGATCAAACCTGCACCCCAGGCATGTTCCCGGACTGGGAATTCAACCGGCAACCTCTTGGTGCATGGGCAACACTCAACCAACTGAGCCACACTGGCCAGGGCTAGGACAATTTCTGAAAGTAGAATTCTTAGGTCAAATGGTATCTACAGGTTTGTTATTGTCAAACTGGTTTTGAGAAAGGTTGTAGAAATTTATACTGCCACTAACAATGTCTCTCTTGCCACACCTTTTCTAGTTCTGGCTGTTACAGTTCTTTTTCATGTTGATTACTTTTTTTCCCTTATTCATGTTGGTTACTTTAATGGGCAAAAAATGATCTTTTCTTGGTATTTTAATGGCATTTTGTTTTTTATGCATCAGTATAGGTCAGGTTAGACCAGCCTGAATAAGAGTGTTTAATTCTTTGTAGTAAGGTTGTTGCAGGGTCACTTACTCAGAGTTGGTTAATGTTGGTGTTTAATGCATATTGGCATTTAATGGTGACTGCTAAATTCAAAACACGTTTTTTTCCAGACCCTGTAAGATTTGGATATGTCCTTCATATTTGACTGGATTTACAGTGGTTTCAGCAGTGTGCTACAGTTTTTAGGTAATGTTGGCTCTTTATTCTCTATTGTTACCCACTTAAGCCTACTTATATAAAAGTGCTTATTTGTCTAGAACCTCCTTATATTACCCAGTAGTTAGGAATGTGGACTTTGAAATTTTGCAAACATGTTTAATGACTAATTGTAGCTCTTATAAATTGCCATCTTGGGCAAATTACTTTCTCCACATTAGTCTTAGTTTCCTTATCTGTAAAATAATAATTCCTACTTCTTAAAGTGGTTGATAGGAATATTATAGGGTGGGGAAAAAGTAAATTTACAGTTGTTCATATGGGAAATAATACAATAATTAATAAATAATAGCCCTGGCTGGGTAGTTCAGTTTGTTAGAATGCCATCTGATACACCAAAATTCAGTCTCCGTTCAGGGCACATATAAGAATCAACCAATGAATGCATAACTAAGTGGAACAACAAATTAGTCTCTCTCTCACTCCCCCCCCTCCCTAAAAATAAAAATAAAAATACAAGAATAAACTCTGTTACCAGTCCTCAAAACTATAAACCTACTTTTGCCCCACCCTGTATTAACAGAAATAGCTACTATTTATTAGCCAGTTTAACTAAGTGCTTTACATGTATCATCTTATTTAGTCTTCACAAGATTCCAATGTGTTATTTTTGTTATTATAAAAAAATACATGTTCCATAAAGTGCCTGCTGTATCATAAATGGCATTTTATAATCTGTTAAATGAAACTTGTTTACCTGCAATTTTGACTAGTAATCTTCCTCTTTTATTAGATTTTAAAGATAGGAAAAAATCCTAGCTAATTCTTTTTTTGAAGGATTATTTATTTTAGAGAGAGAGGAAGGGAGAAAGAGAGAGAGAAACATGGATTTGTCGTTCCACTTATTTATGCATTCATTGGTTAATTCTTGTATGTGCCCTGAATGGAGATCGAACCCACGACCTTGGCATATGTGGATGACACACTAACCAACTGAGCTACCTAGCCAGGGCAGCTTCTCATTCTTTTAATGACATCCTTGATTTGTCACATTTTTTTTAGTGAAACTAGCTTTTGATTAAGTTTTATGTTCAGATATATACAACCTTATTATTGTTCTGGGTTCCTATTTTCAAAATTTGCCCTAAGTTTAGTCTCCATGTAATCATCATATTGTGAAACTGACAGAAAGAGAAGCATTTCACTTAGTTACAGAGTGGTCCACATAGTTTCCAATTTGCCACAACCCTACTTAACGCAATGATATCTTCTTTATAAATGTTTCTTTCTCCACAAACATAACCTTAACCAAGGAAAAAAATTTTGTTTGGAAAATATGTAAATTTTTTTTTTTAATCCTCACCTGAGGATATTTTTTTCCCCATTGCTTTTCAGAGAGAGTGGAAGAGGGAGAGGGGGAGGGGGGAGGAGAAAGAAGGAGGGAGGGGAGAGGGAGAGGTCAGCGTGAGAGAGACACCCCGATTGTCTCCCACATGTGCTGGGAATCAAACCTGCAACTGAGGTAGGTGCCCTTCACCAGAATCGAACCCGAGATCCTTTAGTCTGTGGGCCGACGCTCCAACCACTCAGCCAAACTGGTCAGAGCAAGGAGAATATATAAATTTTAACTATTGTGTATTAAAAGGATAAAAATGTAAGATCAAATATTGTCACTATAGTTTTATTTTTTAACATTTATTGATTTGGGGGGGGAGGGAAATATTAATTTGCTGTTACAGTTATTTATGCTTTCATTGGGTGATTATGCATTCATATGTGCCCTGACTGGGGATTGAACCTGCAACCTTGGTGTATCAGGATGATGCTGAGGTACCCAGTGAGGCTGTATTTTTATTTCTTAGTTGAACTTCAATATTTGCAGGTTTTTAAAAACCAACGGTGTGGGATTTTTTTTCTTTCTAAAAATAAAATTTCTTATTGGTCAACTAAAATTTTATATTGGTCAAATGTTAGATCTCTCTTACTACCTCCAAGAGAATTCTTAAATCTTTTTATCAGACTGAATTATTTGTTTATTTACAAAGAATTGGGTCAGAAATGAGGTTTTAAACTATATTATAGTGGAATTTTGGGTTGTAATAGGTTAGAATCTATTTCTCAATTTATAGAATGATGAATCTATGTTGAATTATGTTGAAAAGACAAAATAGATTATATCGCAATCAGGAACAAAACGTTAATATGACTAACTTTAGGAGGTAGTGTAGAGAAAAGGAAATGAACCAAAGCTTTGGGATCAGACATGGGTTCAAATCTCAGAGCTGATTTCAGCATTTGAGCAAGTTAACTCCAAGCCTTCATTTCCCCTCTCTAAAAAAGAAGATAATAATGCCTACTTGAAAGAGGTATTTAGAGGATTAAATAAAATAATATTTATAGGTGCTTAACAGTATCTACCACACAATAAGAATTTAGTCCAATCCACTTTAGAGAGTAAAGTTCAAATGTCCTAGGTGTTCCATTTTGGTATCTTATCCAATACATTTTTACTATTTAAAAGTTAGGATGTCCCTAGCCTGTTTGGCTCAGTGGTTAGAGCGTCAACATGCGGACAGAAGGGTCTGGGGTTCGATTTCGGCCAAGGGCATGTACCGCAGTTGCAGGCTTGATCCCTGGCCCTGGTCAGGGCTCGTGCAAGAGGCAGCCAATCGATGTGTCTCTCTCACATCAATGTTTCTCTCTCTGTCTCTCCCCCTTCCACTCTCTGAAAAGCAATGGGGAAAAAAAAATAAGTTAAGGTGGTAAGATTGATTGCATTGGGTAGGAACAATCTATGTAGAAACCTTTGTGTTTTTTTATGTTAGAGAGGGAGAGAGAGGGAGAGAGAGACAGAAACATTGATCAACTGCTTCCTGCATGCCCCCTCCTGGGGATGGAGCTGGCAACCTGGGCATGTGCCCTGACCGGTTATTCAACAGGTGACCTCTTAGTGCATGGGACAATGCTCAACCAACTAAGCCACACTGGCCAGGCTGTAGAAACCTTTTAAGAAATAGAAATGTTTAAAGAAATTACTAGTTGGAATTTGTAAAGGACAAATGTCTTATCCCAGCTGAAGTAAATATGGAAGATAATCTGCCCTTAAGGATCAGAATTGTTAGTCAGTAGATGATCAAAAGATTAGGACTTCAGACAGTTTACTTCTTAAACTTAAGTATGGATAAAAAAGTAGTTATTTTGGCATGAACTTATTAGAAAATGGATGGCCTGAATCTGGAATTGCCTAATGTCTTTAAAAGTTCATTTGTTGATTGAGTAAATATTTTTTGTGCTGCTACTGTATCCCTTGTCCTCATGTAATTCCATGAGTGTTAGACAGTGAAACACATGAATAATAAAATTCAGTACCACTACATACCTATTAGAATGTCCAAAATCCGGACATTGATAATACCAAATGCTGGTGAGGATGTGGAGCAATGGGAACTTTCATTGTTGGTGGGAATGCAAAACGGTACAGCCACTTTGGAAGACAGTTTGGTAGTTACAAAACTAAACATACTCTTAGCATACAATCTAGCAATTGTGCTTCTTGGTATTTACCCAAAAGAGTTGAAAACTCTGATCACACAAAAACCTACACACAGATGTTTATAGCAGCTTCATTTATAGTTGCCAAAACTTGAAGGCAACCAAGATGTCCTTCATTAGGTGAATGGATAAACTGGTACATCTAGGCAATGCAGTACTATTCAGCACTAAAAAGGAATGCGCTATCAAGCCATGAAAAGACATGAAGGACCCTTAAGTGCATATTACTAAGTGAAAGAAGCCAATCTGAAAGGGCTACCTACTGTAAGATTTCAACTATATGACATTCTAGAAAAGGCAAAAAATATGGAGACAAAAAGATCAGTGGTTGTCTGGTAGTGGGGGAGAGTAGGATAAATAGGCAGAGCACAGAGGATTTTTAGGGCAATGAAAATACTCTATATGATATTATAATGATGGATAATGGCATTATATAATGATATTATAAAGGTGTAATGACTAAGTAAGCCATTATTCCTCTATCCAAACACAGAATGTACAACACCAAGAGTGAACCCTAAGGTAAACTTTGGGTGACTATGATGTGTGAATATAGGTTTATCCTTGGTTAAAAAGGTATCATTTTGGTGAGTGATATTGATAATGGGGGAGGTTATATGTATGTGGAGGCAGGGGGTACATGGGAAATGTCTGCCTTTCTGTCAATTTTGTTGTAAACCTAAAACTGCTCTTAACAAAAAGTCTTTAAAGAAAAATAATAAAGCTCAATACGGATTTTTGCAGTAAAGGCCAGCCTACTATAATGTAGACTTTGTTTCTATCTCTTTATCACTTTATCAATGCTCAGTTGATACATCTAAAATTGTGTGCTCTATTTTGTTGCTGCGTAGTGTTATGCAATCCTGTGAATAGTTTAACCTTATTCTCAAGGAAATTTGACAGTGAACTAAGCTTTCCTGAAAGACTCACTGTAATTTGTTTGTTTGTCTGTTAATCCTCACCCAAGGATGTTTTTTCCATTGATTTTTAGAGAGAGTGGAAGGGGAGGGAGGGAGGTGGAGAGAGGGAGAGAGAAACATCGATTGGTTGCCTGCCATATGTGTCCCAACCAGGGCCGGGGATGGAACCTACAACCCAGGTACATGCCCTTGACTGGGAATCGAACCCACAACCCTTCGGTTCACAGGCTGATGCTCTAACCACTTAGCCACACCAGCAGGGCCTCACTGTTATTTTTATTGTCAAAAATACTTAATTTAGTTTCATCTATTAAATTTTCTTTAATTTTTCTTTTGTTTTATCATCATAAATACATGATTTCAACAATTTTATGAGTGTTTCTCTAGTAGAAGACACATATATACCTCCAAATTGTCAAGGGGATGGCCATTTTGGCATTGCAGATAAGTTTAGGTAACACACACATTCATTGATAGGAGTGAAGTTTAGTTTTGTAATGATTTGAATTCTCAAATCTTAATAGATTTAAGATAGCTCTTCAAAACTAAAAATAGGCTAGAAATCCAAAGTTATTCAAGCCAGTTTATAAAGTCTTAAAAGTTCAAAAGGTTGCCCGGCCAGGCGTGGCTAAGTGGTTGAGCATCAACCTATGTGATCCAGGAGATCGAATTTAGATTCCTGGTCAGGGCACATGCCTTGGTTGCGGGCTCGATCCCCAGTCAGGGGTGTGCAGGAGGCAGCCAGTCAATGACTCTCTCATCATTGATATTTCCCTCTCTCTCTTCCCCTCCCTTCCTCTCTCTGAAATCAATAAAGATATATTAAAAAAAAAAAAGTTCATAAGGTTAATTAATAAAAATATCAGAATATCAGAATATCAGAATAAAAATGTTATAAAAATATCAGAATAATTAGGAAAAACATCTAAATAACTAAACTGTTAATATATTTTACTGAAGGTCGTTTTATTTGGATAATCTGTGTCAGCTATCACTTTGATTAATCATGGCTCTCTCTACAGGATTATATAAGAAAACTGGTAAATTGGTATTTCTTGGATTGGATAATGCAGGAAAAACAACATTGCTACACATGCTAAAAGATGACAGACTTGGACAACATGTCCCAACGTTACATCCCAGTAAGTATATTCCCCCATACAGTGCTATTACTTTATCAAGTGATACCAAGAGGCGCTAACCAAAAGGTTTTTTGTTTTGGGATTTTTGGGGGGTGGATAAATTATAATCAGGTGATTTGATCTGTTCTTAAATAGTAAATAATAGGTGACCCAACTCCCAGGGAGTATATTTAGATCTGGAATAATACTCATATCTTCCTCTCAGTTAGTACGCCCTTTTCCAGCTAGAGGAGTTAAAAAGTGATCATCTTGGGTGGTGGCATGATTAAGGTCTGTCCAACCAGATCTTAGGCTCTGTAAGTCACCATAACCTTTACTTCCATAAATTTCTTTCAGGTTTTAAAACTGCTATATTGATCATTATTCAATGGACGGATTGTACTTGTTTTTCAGATTACACTTTTATGCTTTGCTGGTGACTCTCCACTTATTGACCAGTTATTATTCTAGTCCTAACAACCTAAACAATATCTAATTAAAGACATAGAATTATTCCAACAAACAGGTCATGTATTGATACACTTATGGAAAGTTTTAAAATAATTTACTATGCTTTCTTCAAGAAAGACTACCTGAATGACATTAATAATGACTTAATACATACCATCCTATATATAAGGTTATGTAATAAGTACCTTTTGAGAAAGTAAAGTTAAAGTGACAAAGTTATTACAAAGAAGCTAACTTGTAGCCCGGCCGGGCGCGGCTCAAGGGTTGAGCATCGACCTAGGATCCAGGAGATCGGAGTTCGATTTCCAGTCAGGGCACATGCCTGGGTTGTGGGCTAGGCAGCCGATCAATGACTCTCTCATCATTGATGTTTCTATCTCTCTCTCTCCCCCTCCTTTACTCTCTCTGAAATCAATAAAGATATGTTTAAAAAAAAAAAGAAGCTAACTTATAAATAACTGGAACCTCACTTTTACTGTTGAAAAGACAGCAAAATCAAGTAGACACAGAATTTAAAGACAAGTTAATCCACAGATTGATTATGAAATAATAAGTGTGGCCTTAAATAGTGAGTATAAAATTGAGAACTGCAACAAAAAGTAGATATGATATGGTTTATTCAGTTCAGTAAATAAAATACAAGGAAAGGGAACAGAATAAAGTACCATTTTATCTATAAAACTATTAGTGAAGTTAGAAAAGAAAGATTTCATAAAATTGACAAATCTTTTTTTATATTAGAAGAGAGTGGGGGCTTGGCAAATGAGATTCTGATATAAGAACAATACTGTTAAAGAAAAAATTATCATGGTGAAATTGAGTTTATAAAGTTGTAAAAACAGCAGAATTGAAAGAGACTATAGTGGTCTTATATTAGGTGTAAGTCATTTTAAAATTTTTTGATGTTGCTCTTATCCAAAAAATATTTATTGAGCAACTACTTTATGTCAGACCTTGTTCTAAGTAGTAGGAGTGTAAACAGTGGCACAGACAGTTGCTATATCAACCTTCCTGCAGCTGAAGTCACCAAGTCAGTTTATATTGTTCAGTTAATCAAAAGCATATGTGAAAAAAGTAACATATATTCTACCCTATGATTTGGCAGTTCCACTACTAGGTATTTATTTAAGAGAAATGAGAACATATGTTCACCAAAATCATTGTACAAGAATGTTTATACTAGCTTTATTTGTTATAACCAGAAATTGAAAACAACTCAGATGTTCATCAAAAAAAAAAAAAAAGGGTAGTTCTGGCCAGGTAGCTTAGTTGGCAAGAATGTTGTCCTGATACGCCAAGGTTGTGGGTTTGATCCCCCGTCAGGGCACATACAAAAAGCAACCAATGAATGCATACATAAGTGGAATGATAAATCGATGTTTCTCTCTCTCCCTCTTCTCTTTCTAAAAGTAAATAAATAAAAATTTTAGAAAAAGAATGGGTAAACAATGGAATTCTCAACAACAAAGAGGAATAAACTACTGATACATACTGATGCATATTATACTTCATGGAAGAAGCTGGTCACAAAAAATTACACACCTTATGATACTATTTATATGAAATTCCAGAACAGGCAAAACTAACCTGTGGTGACAGAATTCAGATCAGTAGTTGTTTCTAGGAGTGGAGGTGGGGATTGACTGAAGGGGCTAGAAGAAACTTCCTGGGATGTTAACAGTGTTTCGTGTCTTAATTAATCAAACTGAGACTTCTTTAATAAAGCATGGAGTATAACCTTAGAGATGGGGAAAGGAGAGGGATAGAGAGAAACATCGCTAATAGAGAAACATCATTGATTGGCTATCTCTTGCACACCTCCAAACCCACAACCCGGGCATGTGCCCTGACCAGGAATCGAACCAGTGACCTCTTGGTTCCTGGGTCAACACTCAACCACTGAGCAACACCAGCCAGGACACATACAGAATTTTTAACAAAATAAACTATTCTGGGCCTTAGCAGTTATACTGAATAGTAAACAATTACACTGAACCTTTTGTTGTAATTGTAGGGGACTTCTGCTTTTGGCCACAAGGGAGTAACAGAATCTGGAATGATCTTCTCTTCCCACTGTAAACAACTAGAAAACTGGACAAAAATATATAATACAGCTGTTTTTCAGATATTGAGCACTAGCTATCACATATACTATGATTCCTGAGGAAAGAAAACAAAGCCTTCTTTATTCAAGCTATATCACAAGAGATCATTTTCAGGCCATGGTCCAGGGAGAGAAAACCCAAATATAGCCCAGTAGACTTGCTGCATTGAAGAGTCAGAGACCAGAATTTGGAGAGGTGGAGGTGACTAGAATTTGCTGGGCAAGAATACTAGAGAGGAAGGAGCTCTACAGAGAAAGAACTCTAGACATTTTTGTGGCTGAATACCAATCTGTGTGTGCATAGTGTGAAACTCCACATGGCCAGTCAAAGAATAGTTTCTGGAGGAGGGACTGTAGCAGAGCCATTAGTTAAATAATTCCAAGTGCTTACGTGGCACCGGAAATCATTCACGTTCCCATCAGTCAGAATGGAGAGATCTGGTTGAATACACAGGGCATATGATAGAAACTTCAAAAGGATCAGATGGGTTACAGTGGCCTCAAAGTAAAGGCTATTTTAGATCTTCCCTAACAAAGCTTAAAAACTGATCTGCAATCACTTTAACTGCCTGCCAGAATAAAGTTCACTTTCTTCAAAAGAATATAACAAAATCCACCAACTAATCAAAAAGTTACTAGAGCCCCAGCTGGTGTGGCTCAGTTGATTGGAGCCCCAAAAGGCTGTGGGTTCGATTCCCAGTCAGGGAAATAATAATTTCCCTAATTATTATTTTTTGTGAATTCAAGAGTCATTTGAATTCTCAAAAAATAATTGCCTGAATAGATGAGCATTTTCAGCAGGAGGAGTAGAGAGAGACAAATACGTAAGTCATGGATCTGTGGTGGGTAGTAAATACTAGAATTGAGTATTACTGTTTCTTGTGTTATATTGTTAGTGTGAATTGGAATATATCTAATTACAATAAAGAATTTTTATCAGTTTCTAAATGTTTGATTTGACCTTTTTTGCAGTTAAAGTAAACCAAAATTAAGTAGCAATATATACCATGAATGGAATTCTGATTTTCATGTTGTAAAAATATTTTTTATTACTATTTAGCTTCAGAAGAACTAACCATTGCTGGCATGACCTTTACAACTTTTGATCTGGGAGGACACGTTCAAGGTAAGATTCTGTTACTCTTATAGTAGCTTTATTTTAACTTAATAAAAAAGTGACCATTATGTTCCAGTGCATGAAATCTCATTCTGCTCAAGGAAGGCCAGAGTAGACTTAAAATTTAGGAATATTTACCCCCAGGTAAATGCTTTAAAAGCAAAGGGTGATTTTCATGATACTCCTGGTCAATTTAAGTTTGAATTGCTTTTGGTGGTAAAGCAAATGGGTAAAGTTGAACCTCCACTCTCTCTGCCCTAATCCACCTCTCACTATTGTCATAATCATGTTATGAATATGTTACTGCTCTCTATGAAAAACCTTAAGTGGCTAACTCATTACATACAAATTAAAGGCAAACTTTTTTTGGGGTTTTTTTTTTGTTTTGTTTTTTTAATATATCTTTATTGATTTCAGAGAGAGGAAGAGAGAGAGAGATAGAAACATCAATTGATTGGCTGCCTCCTGCACGCCCCCAACTGGGCATCAAGCCTGCAACCCAGGTATGTGCCCTGACTGGGAATCGAACCTCGATCTCCTGGATCCTAGATTGATGCTCAACCGCTGAGCCATGCCTTGCAGGGCTGAGCAAAGGCAAACTTGTTGACCTGGCATTTGGGATTTCTATGGTCTGATTCCAGTTTACTTTTCAAGTCTTTATTTCTTATTCTTCCCCTTCCCGTTCTTTTTTTTTTTTTTTTTTAATGTTTTTTTTGATTTCAGAGAAAGGAAGGGAGAGGGAGAGAGAGAGAGAGTTGAAACATGAATGATGAGAGAGCCGTCACTGATCCGCTGCCTCCTGCATGCCCCGGACTGGGGGTCGAGCCCGCAACCCGGGCATGTGCTCTGACCGGGAATCAAACCACTATTTCCTGCATCCTAGGTCCACGCTCAACTGCTGAGCCACGCACAGCAGGGCTCCCGTTCTCTTCATTCCAACCAACCAAACCCTCTGGTGTTCTCCCACCTTTGTGCTTTTGCTCACATCATCCCCATCTGCACATGAATGACACACCTTTAGGGCCCAGGGTGAGTGCTGCCACCTTTTCCAAGGAGCTGCTTCCAGCTGGGAGTGCTCTCAACTATACTTCCATAACACTTAGGGCATTTGTGTACATGTCTGGAAGTTTGGAAAGACTGTCTTATCTCCTCTCCTAAATTTTCTGGGACTAAAATCCTGTTCATTTTTTTTTTATCGCCCCAAAAGGACTTGGTAGTACGCAGCACATAGTAATTCATAAGTGGAGAGTAGTACAGAGTTGATGGGCATTCTAAAAACCTCATATGACAGATAGTTGAAAAGATTTTAAGTGGTTGTGGCTAGTGAAAGCACATTTGAGACCTATAATTGTTTGAAATACATACAAAGTAATTTCTGGAATATAATGATTGGAGGGAATTAGAACCTAATGGAGCTCCTCTGAGACTTCATTTCTATATTGTTTTTAAGATATGTCATAAAACTGAAGGTATTTTCCTCTGAGGTATTCCAAATACTCTTTTCTCTAGAAAAGAATGTCATGGAAAAAAAATTAACCCTAATGATTTTATAGACTTTAGTTTATTTTTGTTATGAGTAGAACAGTTTGCTTTTATTATTTTAACTTAAGTTTGTACCTGGTACTAATTTCCTTCTGCCACTGATTCCAGATTTATCACTGGCAAAAAACCAAAACCAACCAAACAAAACTGGTAAACTAGAAATGTCAAAAAATGAATACTGCATATGAAAATAGTAGCAGTTCACCAATGAGCTTTTAACAAGCATTATTGTCCATTGGTAACAGATGAATTCTACTTCTAACAGGGGCAAATTGGGGCAGAGTAAAGTATTGAATTTCCCACAATCAAGGAAAGCCTGAAATTTCTTCTGGAAAGATTTAACAGCACTGGGTGAAAGAGTAACTTGAATATATAGTGAGGTAGCAGCAGTTAAGGGATAATTACACTTGATATCTTATTGGAATCTCATCAAACCATCTGCTAGGTTTGACCAGCAAATAAAATCTAACTCCTGATTGTTTTTGTTAGCTCGAAGAGTGTGGAAAAACTACCTTCCTGCTATCAATGGCATTGTATTTCTGGTGGATTGTGCAGACCATGACAGGCTGTTAGAATCAAAAGAAGAACTTGATGTAAGTTAAATAATGAAAACTAAACATAGTTGAATTACTAGTAAGCCTAAGGAAATAGGTTGGAGATCTAGGTATCAGAGTACAGCTTTTCTGCTGTCTCTGATATAACTCCTGGCAGTTTGTGGAGCTCAGTGATTACTTTGAATGCAGAGAGAGTGGCTATTGAGGAAGTACTAACACAGACTTCCTTCCTGAAGACTTGGGCTCACTCTGTGCAGTGTGCCCTTGTAGTATATGCCATGTCTGCTACATTCCTGGAGTGGCTTGGTCTTGAGTCCTCGGTGATCCTAGGATGCCAGTTTCTTAAAGAGTTGGCCAGAACCTGGACATGATATAACATACTATCTTTGTCACCACTCCCAGGAATGAGCAGGACCTCATGTAGCTATTTCCCTTAGATCAGATGCTGCTTAAAGGGGTTCAAGAGCAGCAAGCAAGGCCAGTGCTAGATCTGGGGCCACTGAGAGAACAGGTCCATGTTGAAGGTTGGCCTGCCCATGCCTCTGCCCAGAACAGGCAAATAGTTATTCATGTGAAAAAGTCCAGTTAGGTTCTGTGGTCATGAAACAGGGTCAGGGAATTCCTGAGTTCCTACCTTATGCTACACACTATGCATGTTACCTCATTTAATTCTCAAATCAGCTCCATAATGTAAGTGCTACTACTCCATTCTCTTTGAACTTCAGGGAGACCTATTTGTCCAAGATCTCACAACTCAGAAGCAGCAGAACTAGAAATGAAACCAGTCTGCCCATTTTCAAGGCATTGGCTCTGGTCCCCGTACCTCACTGATTGACAGAGCGAGCAGTGTGAGCATCTACTACAGAAGGAGCCTTAGGGAGACAGAAGAATTCAGCTGAAGGGTTCATTGAGCTCACTTTAAACTGAGGAAAAGTTTGCCAAAGAAAGTTTGCAAAACTGACATGTTGTGGTAGAGAATGAGTCCTGGATACCCATTTGGTATCTTGTCAAAATAAGCCCTTCAGGAGGTTTCATATTGACACCATGTGCTTCATTTTGTTTGCTTTCTTTCAGTCACTGATGGCGGATGAGACTATTGCCAACGTGCCCGTACTGATTCTTGGGAACAAGATCGACAGGCCTGAGGCTGTTAGCGAGGAGAGGTTGCGAGAGGTGTTTGGTTTGTACGGTCAGACAACAGGGAAGGTAAAAAGAAAAACTGTCTGGCAAATGTGAACATTTCATTCAACAGTGTATTTTTATCTTCTGAAATAGTTTATTTCAACACTACTAACAGTAATCATGTTATTAGTCTAATTGGTACAGTCTGGCTTCTTTTCTTTTTTTTTAGTTAAAGTATAATTGACACATAACATTGTATTAGTTTCATGTGTACAACGAACTGTCTTTTTATATTACTATTGTCCAGCTACACAAGCCTGTTATCTTTTTTTTTTCTCCCCTTAAAACTAGCATTTACTCAACATCACTAATCATCAGGGAAATGCAAATCAAAACCATACCGCACACCAGTCAGTATGGCTGTTATCAAAAAGTTAACAAATAACAAATGGCAAGGATGTGGCGAAAAGGGAACCATTGGGCCCTGTTGGTTGGACTGTAAATTGGTACATCCACTGTTGAAAACAGTATAGAGGTTCCTCAAAAAATAGAACTACAATATGATCCAGTGATTCCACCTCTGGGTATTTATCTGAAGAAACTGAAAACACTAATTCGAAAAGAAACATGCACCCCTGTGTTCAGTGCAGCATTGTTTATAATAGCCAAGATACGGAAGCCATGTGGGTGTCCAGCAATAGATGAGTAGATGGGGGGGGGTGATGCTAACAAAGGAATTTTGCGATTTGCAACAACATGGATGATCCTAGAGGACATTATGCTAAGTGAAATAAGTCAGAGACAGACAAATACTGGATGGTTTCACTTACATATGGGGTCTAAAACAAAACAAAGCAAAAACAGACTTATAGAAACAGACACCAAAGGGATGGTTGCCAGAGGGGTGGGGGGGTAGAGGGATGGGGGGGAAAAGTGAAGGGGAATATAGTCAGTAATGCTGTGGTAAGTTTGCATGGTGACAGATGGTTACTAGAATTAGTGGGGTGACCACATTTTAAGGTATAAAAATCTTGAATCACTATATTGTACACCTGAAACTAATATAACTAATATAATATTGTATGCTACCTATACTTAAATAAAAATACCTGTCATTTATACTTTTTTTTTTTTTTTAATGTCCTCACTTGTTTTCTTTCTACCACTGAATGTTACCTTTTCTTGGTGATAACAAAAATGTCAAAGCTCATACTTATGGGAAACTAAATGTGAGCTTTCAAAGTTTTTTTAAAAATAAATTTTCAGAATTAACCACTAAATAATATACTTGCATGTTTAGGTATACTAGTAGTGTATTTAGGCCCCCAGTTTAGTGTTTAGGCCCTGAGTTCACCAGAGATAAAAATAAAATATGAACTGGGCATAGGAGTGTTTTGGGGTTTTCTGAACATACAATAAATAAACTTTAAGATGCATTATTTTTGCATTCATTTCTACTAGGATTTGTTTAGGAGGGGGACCTTAGTACTGAAAAATTCCAGAGTTGGGAGCACTCTTCTAGTTGCTAGATTGGATGCTGCTAGATTCTTAGACTGCTTAATAAAGCCAATTAGATCTTCAAATGAAAAAATAAATAAAAATTCCAGAGTTTACAAACAAAACTTTCTTGATTTACATATACTCTAATTATAGAAATACTTCAGCCTGTGGAAGGAAACTCTTATGTTATACAAGGTAGACTTTAGTCTGTTTCTGTGTCTTCTTTTTAATAACTCCGTTCCATATTAATTTTAGGAAATGCCTTTAGTCATAAACCTACTCAGAGAATATTCATCCTTAATATTTGTGAAGCTTATTTTGAAGCCAGTTTGGATAATGAATTTTTTCTCAAAGATTATTTCATTCTTGTGCCTCACAAGCCTACCCCTTTCCTGCTTGGTCCTCAAGTAGAGAGAAGGAGGCTTCCTGTGTGTTTAGAGGATGCAGCTGCCACCACGGATTTATCCAGTCACCTTTGTTCTAAGATATATAAGCTGCAATTCTGCTGGGGAGTGGGGCTTTTATTTCACACAGGGGTCATCCAACATAATGTTTGTCTTCTCTCCTAGGGCAGTGTGTCTCTGAAGGAACTGAATGCTCGGCCCTTAGAAGTGTTTATGTGCAGTGTGCTCAAAAGGCAAGGGTACGGAGAAGGCTTCCGCTGGATGGCACAGTACATCGATTAACACCAGCCTGCCTCGGGTCCAGGTCTCGCCATTCAGGCCTACTCAGAGATTTGATTGCTGAACTTGCATAACTTGAATTCAATAGACTTTTGTTGGTTAGAAAACAGATATTTTTTAGATTATTAATATTATATCAACTTAATTTGAGTGACAATTGAAAACTGATTCAAGTAAGTTTGAATATCACAATGTTAGCTTTCTAATTCCATAAAGATAATTAGTTTTTACAGTTTGTAATCTGACATGACCCCCAGTGCCATTTATAAAGTGACTTTTCAGCAGTACATTTGAAGCACTTTTTAACAGTATGAAACTACAGATATAAACCATAACTAAAAGCTCATCATGTTAAATTTTTTATGTACTTTTGGAACTAGTTTTTAAATTTCAGATTATATGTCCACCTATCTTAAGTGTACAGTTGATAATTAGCTTATTGATGATTGCATGATGCCTTACAGGTTTCAATAATATTTTTTCTTATGCAAACGTCATGCAATAAAACAGACCCTTATGTTTGGCATCTTCGTTGGACAAATGTTTCATTTTAATGTGTCTTATCTAGCTAGTATGCTCTGAAACTGAATATTTATGTCATACACATGAGGTGGTTATTCAGAAAAGAGATTGCTTCAGAATATTTAGAATAAATACTCAGTCCCTGGAGACTTTTGCATTTACCAGGAGGCAAGTTGTGCTTGGTTGTACCTTATGCCACATGTCTCTCTGAATCCTGCTGCGTATTTTAGTAACACTACCATTACCAATAGGGTCCGTGTCCTAGTCCCTATGGGATTGGCCTTTTAAAGAAAAACACATCTTCTGGTACAACACAGGTTGAGTTTTGGTTTGCTAGGCCCCTGTATCTCCATTCCAGTTGTTTAATTCTCAAGAGCTCCAATCTTATTGGTGCCTGGTTTGGTAATCTGTACCTTGTCACCAAACACAGTGACAGGCACCAGCCTCCCCACATTTAGAGGTACTCCCCAGTCTCTTTATACTTAATTACACTTCCCAGGGCAAGTGACAAGTAGGGTCTTATGCATTTCATTGCAGGGGCCTGTGAAATGTGGAAAAAAAGCCTGTTCTGCTTCAGTTGTCACTGAAATGTGGGGATTTTGTGCCTGTCCTATAGCTCTATTTCATTCTTTGTCATATTATATTTTATGGAAAGAAAATAATGCTCTTATTTCATTTTTCTTAGTCGCTCTCAGCCAGCTGTTAAATTACAGCATAAAGGCTTTTACTTTTAGATGTAATGCTTGCCATGTGATAGTGTCCATAAGCCTCACTGACAGACTTAGTAATAAGATTTTGGTTAGCTTTTTAAAACATTTTAATTTCCTAAGACATTGAGGGTTTTTTTTCCCATCTGAGATTCCCCTAATTAGTAAAATAAGATGAAAGATAAGTGCCAAATATGTAGCTTTAAAGACTCTCAAGCTGAAGATTTCTCTGTTGGTTATAAACCAAGATTTTATAGTATATTTAACCAATTCCATTGAGAAGAGATTGCTCCAGTTCCAACAAGAATAATTTAAATATTGAAATTAGTGTTTTCTCTAGCTGTTGTCCAAATCGGTTACCACAGTCCTTTCATCAGTAACGTAACTTGAGGCAGAGGAGTACTGAGGAGTATGACTGAAGTAACCGTCAGTGAGCTAAACCAACAAGGTCATTTCTTAACATCACATTTGGTTTTAGTAATTTGGCTGTTCTATTTCACTTTCAGCTTCATTTCAAATGAAAATAAAAGCTTCCTCCCTGCTTAGAAACATCAGTAGTACCATGGGAAAAGTAGTAAAGAACATTTCAGCCTGTTGGCTTATTTTGCCAGATATGTTTAGAGTCCTCACTTCTGACGGCCTGACTAAACAGAACTCACCCTTATTAAAAGTAACTGCCTCTTGTTGATGGTATTTTTCTTCAGATCAAGTATTTCCTAATATCGATTGTGATACTTGAGAAGTTAATTATTTGTCTCATAAATTGGTATAGAGGAAAAAGCTTACTGGTTTCTCTAGAGGGGAAAAATACTTTTTGGTACAAAATACCTTGCTCCAGAATTCTGATTCTAGTTCTGACACTGGGATCAAAGGAACAGAGTCACTCTGTGGACCACGTCTAAACTGGATATTTTCCCATAAGATTCATATGGCCTGAAACCTCTAGAAAAGAAGCTGCACTTAGCAGTAACTGGCTGCCTGCCCAGCACCAGGGATATGGCTGCAGAGTCCCCAGCCATTGGGCATACTCTAGCTCTGAGAGCTCCTCAGAGCACACACACTGAGTCCTTGCTCCCTTCGAGAAAACGTCAAGAAGCAGTAGAAGCACTTGGGGAAAACGTGTATCCTGTGTGTGCCTGTGGAGTATTGAGGGTAAATGATCCTATTGGGACTATAGATTAGCTTTGTACCTCCCACTGTAAAGTATGAAAATGTAATTGTTAACACTTTTATATACAAGTTAAGATTTGGTTCCGTATAAATCAAGCACTGTTTAAAAGATGTTTTAAAATCTTAATTCCAAAACATTAAAAATACAAAGTCTTAGCCCACTTTTATATTTCTAAAGAGATTCTTAACCCCCATACCTATTTCACTGACTGCTGTTAATTATACTTTTGGGTGACTGGTTAAATTGATAGATTCCAGTTTATCTTTATCTCAGTGAATTTTTATTTTTATTTATTTTATTATTTTTTAATCTCAGTGAATTTTTAGAATGGAGAGTAGAGCATTTTTTAAAATTGGGACATAGATATTTCCCTAAAGTACAGTAGTCTCCCCTTATCCACAGGACATAAGTTCCAAGACCCCCAGTGGATACCTGAAATCGCAAATAGTACTGAGCCTTATATATTATGTTTTTCACTTTACAGGAAGCACTTTATGGCTTCTCTTTAGCATATCTGAATGCCAGCATCATTACTCATGTGCTTTGGGGCCATTATTTAAAAAAATAAGGGTTACTTGAAAATAAGCACTGTCAACACACAGTCAAGCCAGCTACTAAGTGACTAACAGGCAGGTAGTGTATACAGAGTGATACACTGGACAAGGGGGTGATTCATGTCTTGGGTGGAACAGAGCGGGATGGTGTGAGATTACATCAGAATGGCATGCAATTTAAAATTTATGAATTTTTTATTTGTGAAATTTTTTATATAATACTTTTTTAGACCACAATTGACTGCCGGTAACTGAAACCTCAGAAAGTGAAACCAAGGATAAGAGGGGAAACTACTATATTTGAGAAACTATTCTTTACCATTGCTTAGTTAACCCGTATCTTTGAGGCCAAAGATGTGTGAACTCAGATACTGCTGGCATAGATCTAAGTTTTAGTTTTGTGTGCCTGTGTACATAGACAAGTTTACTGTAGTTTACAACACATAAGCAGAACACTGTTTCTTTTTCTTCGTTTTCAACTGGCTCACACTTCTCTATAGTGCTTTCCAGTACAGAAACTACTTAAAAATCATTAAAATAGGGTAATAGCTGTGATAACAGTGTTTCTTGCCTTCTGTAAAATGATTTGATCAGTCACATTTAAAACCCAGCATTTTTACCCTGGCTGCTGTGGCTCAGTTGGTTGGGTATCATCCCATGCACAGAGTCCCGGTCAGGGCACATGCCCAGGTTGCGGGTTCGATCCCTGGTTGGGGGTGTGCAGGAGGCAGCCGATGTTTCTCTCTCTCCATCTCCCTTCCTCTCTCTAAAAATCAATAAAAAAAATCTTTGACAACAAAGAACCCGGCATTTTCACAAGTTCCACCATCAAAAATGGTGTGCTTCTTACTTGACATGGTTTGAGAGATTCGGGAGAAAGGTTCACATTTTCTAAAACTATTTGGTATGTGACTCAGTGTGGCATTTCAGTCTTCTACTTTTTTATTTTAGAGAGGAAGGGAGAGAGAGAAACGTCAGTTTGTTCAGTTCATTTACGCACTCACTGGTTGATTCATGTATGTGCCCTGGCCGGGGATCGGACCCACAGCCTTGGCAAATCGGGACGATGCTCTAACCAACTGAGCTACCAGCTAGGGCAGCACTGCAGCCTTGTTAGTCACTTGCATGATTAAAGTTTGCAAGGATTTATTGCCAAATAAATTTTGACCATAGTACACTGAGAATAGCTAATTTAAAGGAAAGTCTTTCAAAATATCTTGTGTTCATTTTCTTCAGAGGATAATGTTTGGATCATTTGAAACATGTAAAAATTGGTGAGGCTTCAGAAAAATCTCCAGGAAAGCATGAAAATAGAGATTAGCAAGTACAAATTCCTTACTTTAAAATTGATAGGAAATTAAAGGTTTTCTATAAACCTTTAATATTTTGCTATAAATAAGAGGATTCAGAAAACAATTTACCTTCAGTGAAGGACTAAATCCTCAAAGCGACATGTTGATGCTTCTGGTTACTTCCATCAATGCCCTGCTGAAATGCAATTAGTGCTTTATAACCAAAAAAAGAAAAATGAAAACCAGCTCTTGTAATAGGGGACTGGGCCTCTCTGTGCAAAGTGATCGGGATTTTGTTAAAACCATTTTCCACTCCTGAGCCACCGCCCTCACACACCCCTACCCCACACCTGGGTAAGAAGACCCCCGAGTATGAAGGGAAATCTTCGGTCCATCAGAGACACAGCTCTGAACCAACCAGTTTGTCCTCGCAATTTAGAACATTGAGTAGCTAATGTGGGCTTTGCCACACTTTTAAATAGAATCCAAAGTAGTCAAAGTCAAGTAAGCAAACTTACCCAAATTCAACTTTGTTTTAGGAGTTCCCCCACCCCAAATAGGTTTTAGGGCAGAAATAGGAAAGGCTTTTGTGTGATTTTACGCAGAATTATTTTTGGAAAAGCTGCACTGGAGTGGATGAATTCTTCAGCATGCATTTCAAATAGGGGAGGGGGGATTAGGTTTAATTCTAGTTTAAAAAATTTGGAGGTAAAATATATATTAAAAATTGGGGGGAGGGTAAAAGGGGGTGACAGTTCTACAGTTTTTGACATCCAAGTTGTCTTTGGAATTTTTTTCATTATCAAGTGTAAGGATTCACATCAGAATGGCCTGCTCTACTCGGGCTTCTGTGCGCTGGTGCTGCTCGCAGCCCGAGCGCGACCAGCCGCCGCTCCGAGGGTGAATGTAGTGAAGTGACTTGGTAAGTGACCGAAGTGTTTTCCACGGTGAGGCCTTCAGTATTTGGCTGAATGCAGTTATGTTGAAGTGGTAAGGTGGTGATAAGTTTTCATCACTAACCTTGTTTGCACTTTTGTACACTGCTTGCACTAGTATCTTAGTGTGAATTTTAACAAGTGTTTTACAGTGTATGCAGATTGTTAAGCATAATTTATATAAAGATGTTTCTGTTTACCTTTATGTATTTTACAAAGAACACTACAATAGATGGTTAAATGTTCTTGACTTGTGTTTTATGTTATTTTTATGTTCTGTTAT